GGAGAGATGAATGGATGGACAAGTAGATGACAACTAAGTCTCCCCAAAAGATCGAAAAACCCCAGCCCCTGGACCTGTGAATGTGACCTTGTTGGGAAAGTATGCGTTTCTTTGCAGGTGTTATCACTTAACAAAGTAATACTTGTGGTGGTGGTGGTGGTATGTACCATTGAGTCAGAACTGGCTTGTAGCTGGGCCTCCAGAGGCTGCAAATCATACTGGATGAGACTGTCCATCTTTTTCCCCGGGAGCAGCTGGCAGATTCAAACCATGTGTCCACTAAACCAACACAAAGCTCCCCAATATTGGCATGTTGTGGTTGTGTGCCATCAAGTCAGAACTGACCCACAGCTGACCCTCCAGCAGGATTTCAGAGGCAGTAAGTCACACAGGAGATTGCCCACCTTTCTCCCTCCCACAGAGCACCGGGTGGATTTGAATTGCCTGCCTTTGGGATTACAGTGCAGCTTCTTACCACTAGGCCACTAGTGCTCATAGGGAAGACCTAATTTTAACCCCTTCACTCTTCTGAGCCACCTCTAAAGCAAAAGACATAGAAACAGAGGCACACAGGGGCGGATAGCCCATGAGGACCCATCTGCAATCCAACGAATCCAAAGAAATGCCTAGGGCCAGTTCTCGTGACCTATTCCACAGGGAGTTGTACTTGTAACCCAAAGGCCATGCTTCTCTGGCAGTTCAAAGCCACCTCTGGCTCTGAGGGAGAAAGGAGGGCAAATTCCTCCAGGCTCAGAAACCCAATGGAGGGCCAGCTACAAGTCAATTCTGGCTGAACATCAATGAGTTTTGAATGTGTACCTCCAGTCAGAAGAGACAAGGAAGGAACTTCCCCGAGAGTCTAAAGATGAAGTATGGCTTTGCAGAAGCTCTAACTAAATTTGGAGCACTGTCAGCCTAGGGGCAAGAAGCTGCACTGCAATACCAAAGGCACAAGGTTCAAATCCATCACCTGCTCTGCAGGAAAAGGCTGGGCAATCTCCTTTTGTGCACACTCTATGATAAACAACAACAGCCTCAAGAATTAGAATTGAGACGATAAATTTCTGTGGTTAAAGCTACCACTTTTGTAGTACTTGATTACGCTAGCCCTAGAAAATCAAGCATACGCTTAACAACTGGTCAGACCCTACAACCAGATTTTAGGAGTTAGCAGCACCAGCTCAGAGACAAGGAGAGCTGGGTTCACATCTTGATATTATCACTGACTAGCTGTGTGACCTTCAACAAGGTGCTCTCCCTCTGAGCCGTGATATTCTTCACTGTAAAATAAGGTCACTGCAGTACTTATGACTCTCAGTTACCTGCTATGCTGAGTCAATTCTGACTCACAGCAGCCCTGCATACACAACTGCCCCATGGGGTTTCCAAGAATGTAGTATCTGTGATAGCAGACTGCCAGGCCTCCCCCCGGCCCCCACTGAGCAGCTGGTGGGTTCGAACTGCTGACTTTTCAGTTAGCAGTTGACTGACTGACCACTGAACCACCAGGGCTCCTTCGTGGAAGGTACACCTGTAAAGTATTATCACAATGCCAGAGAGAAGCCTCAGCAAAGTAGCTTGGCATTGTTTTTAAGAAAGAAGTGAAAAAAAAAAAATTAAAAAAAGAAGGCAGTGAATAGGGCCAGCTCTTTCAGTGAGTGGTGACTACAGACACAGCTGCTGCCCTCAAGAGGCCTGGCTTGTGTCTATCTTTAGAGTAATATTAGATTAACTAGGAGAGAGCCATGATGGAAGGAACCCCAGGAGTTCAGGGGAACCACAGAACGAAAGTCACCCCCAAAGAGATCAGGGAAGTCTTCCTGGAAGAAGTGGCATCTGAACCATGAACTGAAGCACACAGAGGTGATGACCAAGTGAAGTAGGTGGACATTACAGACACAGCACAAGGTATACGTAAAGGCCAGGAGGTCTCAAAACACCTCCAGGGCATAGAAATGATCATCTTCATTTTACAGATCCTAAAACTAAGCTCAGAGAGGTAAAATCACTGACCTAAGGTCACACAGCTAGCAAGCCCCAGAGCTGGGATTTGAGCAAAGGGCAGTCTCACTCTGGAGTCAAGAAGAGCTCCTAGTCCCTTGTAGGGCAGGGTGCAGACACAAGGGGATGGCAGAAGGGCTGCAGACTCCTACCTCTATCTACTTTAGCCCCTAGCTCAAGAACTCCCACACACCCACCCGACAAGAAGGACGGTACCTCCATCAGGTCTATAAGCCACAGCAGCCGCTCCTGGGGAGGAAAGGTGGCAAAATGCAAAAAAAGAAGAGTACATCAAATAAATATGAAGGATGGGGTGGGAACCGCACAACCCCACCCCCAAACACACACGGACACACAAAGGCAAAACAAACACGACTCTCCAAGCCCTTTCCTGTTTACCTTGAATGCTGTGGACAGGAATAAGGGACAGAGAAGAAAAGATTCTCGTGCCTCAACAGGCACCCCTCATTCTGCCTGCCTCTTTGAAGGAAACTAGGGGCCCACTCATCTGCAGAAATGACATGAGTGCTGGGGAAGGGCTGTAGAACGTGGCCATTCACCTCAGGACACACTAGTGCTGCCCAGGATGCAGGGTAAGGACCGAATTCTCAAAGTGACTTATCCAAGATCACGCCCATTCATAAAGAGCCTGAGGAGGGACACTGCAGTCCAGAAGGACTAATGAATGACCAGCGGGCCCAGGCTCTAAAAGGTAGAGAAAGGGACTGTCTGAGAAATGATACAGAGGGACCTTAGCCCAGTGCTTCCCAGAGCCATCAAGTGTCCACAGGCCTTGGATGCAAATCCCTGGGTGGTTCCCCAGCCAGGCTGCACTGAACAGGTGATTCACCTGCCCTTCACATGTGGGTAGCACTCTGGGGTGTGGGCACTAGTCAGGGGTTTGTCTCCCTGAGTCCACAGACATGCTCTCACTGAATTCTCCCAACATTCAAGGGTAGCAGCATCACAGCCCAGAGGCAAGTGAGGAAACTGAGGCACAGAGATGACGTATCCAGACTAGCTCTCTCACCTGCCACAGCTTTCTCCTCGACTCCACCTGCAGGAGCTCATCCTGGTCACTTGGTAGCCCTAGCTTTGACAAGACGAGAGGTCCACGAGTCACTCCCATCTCAGAAGGAGGGGCTCTAGGCCACCTCTTCCCTCTGTCGCCATGAGCTCCCGGCTCAGACCATCCCATGGCCTATTGTGAAGTCTGCCTCTCCCATTCCAGAGATATCTCCATCTGCAGCAAAGACCGCTCTGGAAGGGCAAGGCCAAAACTGAGCTGGGGTCTAGAATGGCCTGCAACAGCACTTTCAGGAAGGGGAGAGACACCTGGGCTGGCACAAGGCCACTGGGGATCAACACTGAGCGGGCCTAGGACCACGGGCCTCTGATCCCTGCCCACAGCCCTTGCCTGGCATAAGGACTCCTAGTCCTCCAGCCTGAGCTGCTAGTCAGAGCCAGCAAGGACCTGGGGCCTTTTCACAGTTGCCAAAACTTAGACCCAAAGAGGCCAGAGCTTAAACCAATCTCCTGCCTCTGAGGCTGGAACACCTCTCTCATTGGCTGGCTCACTCATGCCATATTTGGAAAAAATACACCTCCACCCCCACCCCCGTTTGCAAGCACAGACTCACACTACTGAACCCCACATAGACATTATTAAGGCCAGTTTCAGGAGAGCTGGACACAGAAAGAAAGAGTATTTGGGGCCAGGGCACTGCAGCCTTAAACCCAGTAGAGCATCAAAGGTTACAAAGATTATCAAAGGTTTGGCTGTGCCAAACATGCAACCCAAGGCAGGGGTGGCCTCCCCCCCGTCCAGAAACTCATCAGGAAGCATGGAACTGCCTGGACTGTAGTCAGGTTCAGAGTCCTTGAGGAAAGGCCAGGAGTCAACTCAAGGAAGGAATGAGGAGACCTGGGGATGACTGTGACACCGGAGATGGGAAAGAAGACAGAAGTGAGGCTGTCCCAGAACCAGAGTCTGCCACACTGGGTAATCGAGGCTACAAAGAACAAGGGTGAATGCTCCAGGCCTGTTTCTAGAAGGCTTTGAGTTCCCTGCGACCACTGACTGCTGTATGTGCAACCCTAGATAGATATCACTGCGCCCTAGCTGTCAATCAAGCACAACTAATGGGGTATCTGTACAAAAGTGGCCTCCAGGTCCAGGCTGAAAGACTTCTCAGCTCTGTGCCCAGGAGCAGAAGTGCTTGGGAAATGCTACCTCCTTCCCTCTCATTCCACAAAAGAGCGATGATGAGTGACTAAAAGAAATAGAGCAACGATACAGGGTACAGAGGGAAGGAGCCAGAAGCTGCCTCTCCTGACCGCCAGCCCAGGTTCTTGCCACCCGTCACATGATGTAATCAGGGATGGCTATACCCACACTCGATACGAGGGCTTCCCATCTCCCCCTTCCTGGCAAAGGCCTCCTGGACTTCATCTGCCTCCAAGCACCCTGGGGGCAGAACCCATCCTGAGGTGTTCCCTGAGGAGGGACATTCCCGGGGGCTGGCAGTCTGAGAGGAAGCCAGTCTGGGCTTGAGGCTTCACCAACAAGAGGGCAGAACAATCACAAGGCAAATACCACTGTAGCCACTGGCTGAGTGCTCATGGGGCACCAGGCACATGAAAAATGAATCACAGGATTTTCACGGTTGTTCCTTTCAGGGATTGTCATTTCTTGTAGTTGTCCAATTACCTGTTTTTTCTTTCTCCCTCTAACCCCATGCTTAGATAGGCCACCCCATGAAGGAAGTGGCTGCATCTATTTCATTGTTCAGTTATCTCTCAAATCATGTGCTTGGTACACAGCAGTCACTCAACAACCTGGCTTATACAAAGGGAGAAACTGAGGCTTAGTGAGGCAAGGCACAGACCTGGTAAGTTGTGGTGCTGGGATTTGAACCCAGACTGATGCCACTCCAAAGCCAGTGTCCTAACTTACTCAGTGGTCATCCAGTCAGGGATGGGGCAGGAGCCACACTCACCCTGGCCGAGCTGACGGTGGTGGAGGTGCCGTGGCTACCTGTGGACGAGGCTGTGTCGCTGTAGGAGACCATGGAGTAGGTGTCGCCGGCCGCAGGGCCTGGGGCCTGCCGCGCCTTCATTGACTCAATCTCTCGCCTCAGCACCAGATGATCAAAACGGTCCAGGTCTTGCGGGGAGATGGTGCCTCTCACTTCTGAGAGGAGCGAGAACTGGGGCACGAACAAACAGGGCTTTGAGCAGGGGCTCTACCAGCAGACAGTGTCAGTCAGGTGCACTGTCCTCAAACAGCCTGCAGGCAAACTTGACCACTCTCCTTCCCTCCTTAGTGGCTCACCATTGCCCTGCATGCGGTCCAAACCATCTCCACGGAGTACTGTGTCCCCCCATCATCTGACTCTCACTTCTCTCCCCAGCTTTACTCTTCCCGCCTCCTCTGCAATCTTACCCCCCAAGGCTAACACTCCAAATCTGCCATCCCAGCTAAGCTGTCCCTGCCCTCTAGAAGATCCTTCTAGTTGTCTCCAGATCCTAGGCGCTTTGTTATCTTTTCCCAATTGTAACCACTCTCAGCGGATTTAATAATTTTTTTTCTTTGGTGCAGGTTCTCACTAGAGCAGGATTCTTAAAGCTGGCCATGTGTCATAGTTGACCATGGGGCTTATTACAAACATCAGGGCAGAGTGAACTGTCCAGGCGGGGCCTGGCCAATGCTTTTCTAAAGCAATAGTGGTATGTCTCAATGTGCACTCAGCAATAAAAGCCACTGCAGTGGCACCGTGGTCACAAGGTATACTGTTTCCTTAGGGAGCGCTGGTGGCTTAGCGGTAAGATATTGCAGTGCCAATCTAAGGAATTCGGTTCAAATCCCCTGCTTCTCCATGGGAGAAAGATGGGAGAAAATTATTAACTCCCTTGGAAAACCCACTAGAGGTTCAGCTACAGATCAGTTCTGACTTGATGTACACAATACATAACAACAACAACAACAACAACGAGGCAGCAGTAAGCTTCTGGGTTTGGGGGTGTCTACATTGTCACTCTGTGCCCAGGATTTGAGCCTAACTCCTATCAGGTTTTCATTAAAGAAGTGGAGCATGGAGGGAGACAGAGAAGGGCGCAGAGCCTTGGAAAGGCTGAAGCCAGCCCCTGAACCTGCTGCCTGGCCTGAGGAGGGGCATGGGTCACCTTGGCATGGGTGTTAAGCAGCTCAAACAAGGCCATGACGAGGGCCTCGACGGAGATGCAGCCGCTGCGGTACTCGTCCAGGTAGTAGGCCATGGTGGCGCGCTCAGGCTCCGTCAGCAGGTGCCGCGCCTGCTCCTCCAGCAGCACTCGCGTCTGGTTCCCCAGGCTGCTCAGGGTCACCTGAGAGCCAGCCGGGCCCTTGTAAAACCCGGGCTGGAAAACAAAAAGCCAGAGGACCCGGGTTGTGAGCCCTGGCCAGGGAGGTGAGCCACTGAAGACACTTGAAGTGACACTCCGAGGTGCTCCAAGTCCCTCAGTAGTCTGCACACACACTAGTTAAATAATCGTCAGGAGGAGATGACAGAATGCATCCCCAAAGAATGTGTGGCCTCATTTGAACACGCTTACAAAGCACTTTTCTATCTATTACCTCATCCCATCCTTTTAACCATGCAGTGGAAAGAGATTGTATCACAGGTCTCCTTTTCTTTTCTAAATGCCAGCATTTCTCTAAGCTCGAGATAATGATAAAACTAGCTGCTGTTGAATGGATTCCAACTAATGGTGGCCCCCTGTTTTCCAAGGTAGAACTGTACTCCACAGGGGTTTCAATGGCCTGTCTTTCAGAGACGGATTACTATAACTTTCTGACTGTCTCCAACTCCAGGCTCTCACTAGCAGCTAAGTGCATTCACTGTCTGCACCACTCAGGGGCTCTGAGGATAATGACAGAACCTGTGGCATCAGGTTTGGAGAAGGCTCATCAACAACCTGCGTTATAAAAATGACGCAACCTTGCTTGCTAAAACTGAGGAAGACCTGAGGCATTTGCTGCAGTAAGTCAAGGACTGAAACCTTCAATAAAAATTGAAGGTCAACATCAAGAAAATAAAGGTTCTCGTCAATGGGCCAATTGGCAGCATCATGCTAGATGGAGAAGAGACTGAGATTGTTGACAGCTTCAGCCTGCTTGGTTCCACAAGCAACACTCTTGGTACCAGCAGCCAGGAAATCAAAAGATGAATTGATTGCATTGGGAAAATCTGCTGTCAGAGACCTCTTCAAAGTACTGGAGAGCAATGATGTCAATCTAGAGACTAAGGTGTGCTTGGTCCAAGCCATGGTGTTTGCAATTACTTGTTAAGCAGAGAGAGCTGGACAATGACTAAGGATGACAGAAGCTGAGTCAATGTCTTTCAGTCGTGGTGTGGTGCTGGAGAAGAGTATTCAATATACCATGGATTGCTAAGACAACAAACAAGTCCGTCCTGGAGAGGGGAAAACCAGGCTGCTTCCTGGAGTCAAGGATTCTGAAGCTCTATCTGATATACTTTGGGCATATGGACAAGGTGGGACCTGTTCTTGGAGAAGAGCATCATTCTTGGAAGGGTAGAAGGACAGCACGAGAGGAAAACCCTGGATGAGATGAATTGATTCAGTGAGTGGAGTAATGGGGGTAGGTATGTCAGAGACAATGAAATTGGCTCAAGATAGAGCAGGGTTCAGAGCTGTCACACATAGGGTCTCTATGAGTCACAATAACGGCGTATCTCCAAAATGTAGCTAAAATCTGCACCTACATTTGCACGCACACTCCGTAGCCCTGCCCACCAATGCCTCCTCTATCACCAGCCTCGTCTAAGGAACTATGCAGTCTTCTTGTTTTGGTACCCGCTGACCCTCTGTACCATCTCTGCACTACACTCCAGAGCTGTTGGAATCATCCAGTAAAATCACAGCTCTCATTCCTCTGCTCCCCTGCTTAAAGCCCTTCAACAGCATCCTGTTGCTGAGACGCCACCTCCTCCCCGTGGTCCCCACAAGCCTTTGTGCGCTGCCCATCAAGCAGCCCCACCATTACGTGCTCAGCCTCTTTCTCACTACACCTCACCCTCGTCTCTATTCTTCCTGCAAACCAAGCCCTTCCCCAGCCTCAGGGATCTCTTCTCTGACTGGATCGTCCTTCCCTCACCCTCAGTTTGACCTAATGTCTGCTGAACATTCATTTATTTCATTAATTTTTTTTTTAGATAAACTTTAAAAATCATGTTGGTTTTAACGCAATCATTCATACACATTTTCTTTTATAACATTAGTTACAACTGATTAACGTAATTAATTACAATGCCTCATCAAACCCTTTCTATATGTTGCCTTTCCCTTCAGCCAACTCACCTATTTACTTCTGCTGAGCATTTAGTTTGAACTCAAACATCATGTCACTACCTCAGAGCGGCCCTTTTCGCTCCCCTGACTCCATCTACAGTAGGACCCTGACTCCTTCACCTGCATTCTTTCGTAATATCTAGCACCTTGCCTTGATGGCACTGGCCATATTTTGTAACGTGACTGTTATCTGTAGGCTCACTTTGTTTTCCTGTGTGGAGTCTGACCTCCACAAGGGCAGGCATCAAGTCAGTTCAATTCTGTTTACTGCTGTTACCCTGAGCCCAGTGGTGGCGCCCAGGCCATGGCAAGTCCTCACAGCCACGTGGCATAGGGGGTGATGGGCAGTCAGTGAGTCCCCAGCTGAGCTGAGATGTGAATGTACGTCAACGTCTCGGCCCGCTGACTGACCCAGTCTTCCAATCAGGCGAACCAGGAAGAAGCAGAAGGCACCTGGGTGTAGAGCTCCCTACCTTGTTCGTCCCCTCTGCTGTGAGATCACCGGGAAACCTGTGGAGAAAGGCAAGCACTGTGAGAGCTGCAGGTCTGAGCAGCCAGGGAGATGAGGGTCAGAGGATTGCTGACCTGGAAGGATGATCCCAGTTTGAAGGCCAGAAGAGTATCTTTCCTCTGTGTCCTGAAGACCATGACTTCATGGTCTCAGACTTGCTGTCAGCTCAGTTCTGGGGCTATTTTTGGGGAGATGAAGCCCTGCACGCATAGGGCCACTTTGAGCTTCTCATCAAATATGTGAGTGGGCCTTGTAACATCATGCAGGGTAAGCCCTTGTGTTGTTCCAATCCCACAGAATCAGGCACATAAAGCAAGGAGAGAGGAGACTAAATAGTGGCTGACATGTGACCCTGCGGAAAAGCCAACACATGGGGAAAATGGGACTGGAGTGAACTTGAGATCTCAAGACATAACTCAAGAGGCACCAATGCTCAGTTCTGGCTCTTGTTATCAAGAATGGTGACCTCAAGTCATATTATATTCTTAATTTTTAAGAAGCAGCCAGAAATTGGGATTTTTATGGGAAATCAAGTATCTTTTCTTCTTACTGTTGAGTATCATGAAGTCAGAAATGACCCACAGCTGACCCTCTCGCAGGTTTCCAGAGGCAGTTAATTAACTGCACAGGAGGAGACGGCCCATTTTTCTCCCACTGAGCAGCTGGTAGCTTTGAACCGCATGCATTCGGTATTGCAGCACAGCTTCTTGCCACCAGGCTCCCTCCTTCATAATAGTAGCAACTAGTGTTTAAAATTTTAACACTATCAAAGTGGAAAGAAGGAGGGAGACAGGAAGAGTGCGGTGAAGTCTCTGGCCAACTGGCCACCAGTTTGAGACTTCTGATCGGAATTAAAAGGTGACACATTATATTACTAGCTACTATGCAGCCACATATCAACCTTATCTCACTTTAAGCTCCCAAGACACTTTCACCCAAATGAACTCCGATGATACTCAGATCTGGGGTAGGGAAAGGGATCCCCGCTTTTCAAAGGAAGCAACTGAGGCGCCAGAAAAACAAGTGATGTGATGGTTCAAGACGAGGAACACAATCAGTGGCACTAAATTGCACATGAGACATGTTGGGAGGGCAAATTTTCCTTACAAACATGTTTACCAGAATAAAATACATATTAAAAATAAACTAAGGTAAGTTATGTACCTGGGACAAATAAAGAATGAGGGCACTGGAGCTGGGGCAAGGAGGGGTGGAATCACAGAGACTGTGTTCTTCAGCTTCCCAGGGAGAAAACTGAGGCCACGACAGCAATAGTGAGGTTGTAAGCAAACAGGATTCTGGTGCTTGGGACCCTTCCCCATTCTAAGAACTTCAGGGTACTAGGGGGCTCAGAGTGAGAAGAACTGACAGACCCTGTGGAGTTTGTGGCGGTCTCCCCAATTCTAGAACTGGCAATCCACTTGGTCTCGTCCACGGTGGTGCGGGCGTGGGGCAGCCGTCCGACGTCCTTCACCGTCAGGATGAGGTGCCGAGAAGATTTGAGCAGCCTGACCGCCTCATCGTGCAGGATGCTCAGGAAGCTCCGTCCATTCACCTCCAGGATCTGGTCCCCCACCTGCCAAGAGCATCACACAACACAGTTACCTGGGCTGTATGAGCCCTGATCTCATGCTTCTCCTGGTGGCTGCCAAGGATCAGAGAGGTTATATGGATGTTTGAGGGTCACAGCAAACCAGTGACAGAGCCAGCCTTTCAATTCTGAGTCTAATCTTAGGTTCCTGTCACTAAAAGAAGACACTGTCCTCAAGACCCAGAAATGGCTACAGGGAGTAATCGTGCAAGGACACTCCCAGGGTCCGCACTGTCAGAGTCAGAGGCATTAACGCACAGTTCCATTATTTCCATTCTACACTGTCAGAATATTTTAAGCCATTCACATTACCTTCAAATGTAAACATTTCAATTACTCAAGATAAAAAGCAACAACTAAACCTGTATACCTACAGTCAACTGATTTTTTACATGAGTGCCAAGTTCACTTGGTGGGGAAATAAGAATGTCTTCAATAAAAGGTGTTTAAAAATTAGATTTTCCCAAACCCCACCCCCTACCCCCAAATATAATCCACTCTGCAACCCTCATTGCATACTGAGGTGCGGGGGGGGGGGATTGTGTACAAATGAGGGAGTTTTTCTTTCGCTTTTCAAGGAGAGGAGCAAAAGGGAGGGGGGAGGGGTTTGTGCGGGGAGAGGGGTGCAACAATGAATGAATGGAATCCCAAAATCTCTGTAGATGTTCATTGAAATGAAAAATAAACAACCTAAATTAAAAAAAAAATTAGATTTCCATATGCATAAAAATGAAACAGAATCCAAACCTCACACCACACACAAAAACAAATTCAGTATGAAATAAGGGCTTAATGTGCTAACCCAAACCATAGAATTCTTGGGGGGAAAATGCAGGAGTAACATTATTAGACTTAGATTTCAATAATGTATTATCTCATATAATAACAAAAGTACAAAGAATAAAAGACAAAATAAATCAGTGTTGTTATTGTTAGGTGCCATTGAGTGGCCTACAACTCATAGTGACCCCTATGAACAAGAAATCTGACCCCTGTCCTTTCTCTGCCATCATGATTTCTGACTCGCATGAGCCCACTGTTACAGTGACTGTCTCAGTCCATCTTGTTAGGAGTCTTCCTCTCTTTCTCTGACCTTCCACTTTTCCCAGTATGATGTCCCTTTTTGCACAGATTGGTCCTTCCTGACAACACGCCCAAAGGATGTGAGACAAAGTGTGTAAGTGAAGTGAACATATGAATTACTAAAATGCAAAGACTTGTTAATCAAAAGACTTTCACAAAAGAGTGAAGACACATCACTAACTTGGAGAATATATTCCAACAATAATCTTTAAAAACAGAAGAAAAACAACCCAACAACCTTTGACAACTTATAAATAAAAGAGGCAAATAACCCAATCATAAAAATCGCCAACAGTCTTAAATAGATATTTCACCAGTGAAGATATTCAAATGGCGATTAAACATGAAAAGATGCTCCGCATCGTTAGACATAAGAGAGACGCGTATTAAACCAAACTGAGGTATCATTTTACTCCCAGTGGGACAGTGAAGACTGGGGTTTATTTCCTTCCAAAAAACAAAATGTGAAACCCAAATCAAAAACAACAACAAAAACAAAATAACAAACATTGGTTGTGAAATGGGGAAATCAGAATCCTTAGCTACTGCTGCTGGGAGTGGAAAGTGGTCTAGTGTTTGTGGAAAATAGTGAGGCAGTTCCTCAAAAACCTGACACTAGAATTCCCACATGACCCAGCAAATTTCATGCCTAGGTAGGGGTGTGCTTGTATATATACATATAAGTATATATATATATATGTACACATACATATATGTATATACATGCATATATACACACACATACATATATGTATATATACATACACATGGTGTCAGTGGCTTTCCTGTTCAAAATGCCTTTCCTAGATCCCTGGCTTTGATTTTCATCACATGGCTGGGTTGTGCTGTTAAGTGCTGTCAAGTCCACTAGGTCTCATGAGGACCCTATGAACAACAGCTGTGAATTTTGCCCTGCACTATCCTCATCTTCCTCAATACATCTGAGTCCAATGCTACTGATACTGTATCAATCCATCTCCTTGAGGGTCTTCCTCTCCCTTGCTGACCCCACCTTTCCAAGTATGATGTTCCTTTTCAAGAAACAGCCTCACCAAAAAATATGTCCAAAATATGTGCAATGAAGCTTCATCATCTTTACCTCCAATGAACAGCTGCACTTTCTCCAAGAAATGCTTGGGTTTTTTGGCAATCTGGACCAGTTTCAATTTGATGGTATACAACAACAACAACATTCAGCACTCTCCTCCACCACCACAACTCAAATTCTTCTAGCTTCCATTTACCTTGTCCAGCTCTCAGATGCATAGCAGATGCTTGGAAAGATTGAAGTTTGAATCAGGAGCAACTTAACTTTCAACTGACATCACTGCTCTTCAGGACTTTGGAGAGATCCCTGACAGCAGAGAGCACACCAATGTCATATATCTCATCTCACTGCCAGTACCAAGGGTACTGATTGTGGATCCAAGCAAGATGAAATCATTGACAGTTTCAATCTTTTCTCCATCTATCATGATGTTGTCTATTGGTCCAGCAGTGAGGATTTTTGTTTCTTGATGTTGAGATGCAATCCTTGATTTTCTGCAGCAAGTGTTTCAGGTCCTCTTCATTTTCAGCAAACAAGGTTGTATCATCTGCTTAACACAGATTGTTGATGAGCCTTCTGCTAATCCAGATTCCACACTCTTGTTCAGTCATAAAGTCCAGCTTCTCGAATGATTTGCTCAACATCCAGATTGAACAGGAATGGAGAGGGGATATCGCCCTGATGCACACCTTTCCAAATTTTCAACCATTCTGTGTTCTCTTACTCTGTTAAGACAACAGCTTCTTGACCTAGGTATAGATTTCATATAAGCATAACTAAATGTTCTGGAATTCCCATTCTAGTTTGTTATAACCTACATCGTCAAATGCCTTTCTGTAGTCAATAAAACACAACTAACTCCTTGTTCAATGAGTACTGCCTGGGTCTTAAAACCCTGCAAGAGCCTAAGACTCATAAATAGCCTTCATTGTGCAGAGGACACAACCTTGCTTGCTGAAAGTGAGAAGGACCTGAAGCACTTATTACCGAAGACCAAGAAAAGAAGCCTTAGGTATGGATTGCATCTCAAAGTCAGCAAAACAAAAGATTCTTACCACTGGACCAAATCGACATGGTGATGGCTGCAATGGACTTTTGTGTGTCAGAAGTGTCAGGATGTTAAAAAAAATATGAGATATCATCTCACCCCAGACAGAATAGCAAAATTTAACAGAACAGCAAGCAACAAATGCTGGTGAGGTTGTAGAGAAACTGGAACCCTTATACACTGTTGGTGAGAGTGTAAAATGGTGCAACCACTGTGGAAGGCCGTAAGGCGCTTTCTCAAAAAGTTGCAAATAGAGATACCATTTGACCCAGCAATTCCACTACTGGGAATATACCCCAAAGAGACCATAACTGACATCCAATCAGATATATGCACACCTGTGTTTATCACGGCTTTGTTCACAATAGCAAGGAGTTGGAAACAACCTAAGTGCCCATCAACAAACAAATGGACAGAGAAGCTGTGGTATATTCACACAATGGAATACTACACTGCATTGAAAAACAAGGAACTCATGCAATATTATTCAAATTGGGTGACCGTGGAGGACATTATGCTGAGTGAAGTATCTCAGTCACAAATGGACAAATACTGCATGGTGCCACTGTTGTAAAACAGGACTGACCTTGGGGTTGGGGGGAGACTGAGAAAGATGGGTTCAATAATGTTTACTGCATTGAAACAGATGAGGGAGAAAATGGTTTAAAAGGGATATGTGATTAGGTATTTTTGTCATAACAGGTGTCTAGGGTGAAGGCTACATGGTGGAGTGGACCTGCGGGAGGGTTTGTAAAACAATAAATGAATTTTTCATTTTCTTTTCCAAGAGGGTAGTATACTAGGGGGGAGGGTTGGGAGGGGAGAAAAGTGCAATAATGAATGAACAGAAATGGAAAGTCTCTGTAAATTTTTACTGAAATTAATAAAGATTTAAATTTAAAAAAAGTGTCAGGATGGTGCAGAAGAGAACAGGGTTCAGCTTTTTTGTTAATAGTGTTGCTATGAGTCGTGCCTGACTCAATGGCACTTAACAACAACATCTAAGACAGAAATGGTCTCTAGTCACCTGAAACAATAAAGGGAAAATGTTACCATAGGAGAATAAAACACATGGATGAAAGGGAAGGACCATGCAAACAAAGCATGCACATTACTACTGATGGAACTGTAATTTAAGTCCATCTTGCTGGGCTTAAATAGAACAGCTTTAGAGGCAGAAGATGGGAATCTCACTATCAGAAAGACAGAAAAGATAGAGAATGCAGCATGTGTGCTTGGGAGACACAGAGTGTCTGAGACATAGACAGGCTGAGACAGACATACACACTACAGCAGCAGAGGAACTCCAGAGACCAACATGAGACAAGGCTGCCTCATGGAGCTGGAGCCATGAACCGAGCTGGCAGCCTTCACTCAAGCTTGCAGGATGCCTGGGAATGAGATGCCATAGTTGGCAGAACTAAGAGAGCTTTGTAACACTGACCTAAAGCTGAGAAGCTGAAGGGCAAAGGCCTTTAAGCACACCTGAGAAGCTGTCCTGACAGAAGGTCAGTATCCAATTTCAATTTGAGCCTATTAACTTTCCTAATAAACTCCATAAATGTATGATCAATGAGTTTTTGAGTTCTGTGTGGCCACTGCAAGAGATTAGCAGACACAACAGTAGATCAGTGAGAGGAATGGCTGGTGTCAGAATTGATGGAAGTAGATGCAGAAGTGTGGGGACGTATCTGACCTGTTTTTTTGTTGTGGATGTTGTTGTTGGGAAACACTCCCCCTTGTGGAGATAGCAGAAGTCAGATATGGCTGTCCCTATATCAGCCACACTCTTTTTACAGTATATAT